TTCCGCGAACAGAACCGGTTGTTTGAAACAGACGAGAAGAGATTCTATCGAAATCTGACTCAAAAACCGAAGGGCAATGCTGTTCCTCCTGCAAAAGATGACATCAAAACATTTTGAGTAGGAATACGGAAAGAAAGCAGGTCCTACAACAAAGACGCGTCTTGACTCCAATCTGAAGTTGATACTACCGAGAAATTTGTGGAAACTCTAAGGAATCAAGAATTTACGAAACTGGAAATCCTCCGGGATTGATAAGATTCAGAATTATTTGATTCAGAAATTAACAGCAATACATTATCATCTAGTAAAGGCTGTTAATAAAATTTTAGAAAACTCAAAGGAACTCTCGGAATGGCTCACACGCGGCATAACTGCTACCCACAACTGTAAACAATTCTTTGGCGGAGAACTACAGGCAATCACTTATTTGCCAGGAATATAGTTATAATTGCAGCCATAGCTAACAAAATGTACAGACATCTAGAGAGGAACCATCTGTGGCCAGTTGAACTGAAAGGATGTCAAAAAGGTTCCTATGACTAAAGAAATCTTGATACTATACAAAGTCACCTTGAATAATGCAAGGAAACGAAAACTAAATTTAAGTGACTTGGACTATCAGAAGACCTTTGACAGTGTACCACACGATTGGATTTTGAAGACCCCGCGATCAATCGATTTCACCCTTAAACTTATTGAGTTTTGCAAGGCTAGTATGAAGTCGTGGAATACCAGGATACTAATACACAGCGGAAAAGCAGTAGAAAGGAGAAGTATTCAGATCAACAGGGGTATTTTTCAAGGACATTCGCTGTGCCCTCTGCTTTTTTACATTAGTTCAATTCCACTATCGAGACACACTGACTTTGGTTACACGCGCGATGATGAAGAACGACCAATACTCATTGATCATTAAGTGTTTGATCATTATGTGATATGATGATCATTAAGTGTTTACTAAAAATTAAGCGATTCTCTCCCAAATGCTGTCATCAATGATTTTGGCTATGGAATCTGCATGAAATTTGATCTTAACATACGAGGGTTGCCTTTTATATTTCAGGATTAGAGAACAAAAACAAACATTAATAATCGAAAATCACTTTATTGTTTTTTCAAAATATTCCCATGAACTTAAACCTTTTGTACGCGTTTGGAACCAATAGGTTCGAAGCACTTTTAGCCCTCTGAATTGAGGTATCTCAAACATGCATTCTGAATGAAGCACCCGCTTCTTCAGGTGTCGAAAAACGTTTTTACCTCTCAGTTTGTTTTTTTTACGTACGGGAATAAAAAAGAAGTCATTCGGTGCCAAGTCAGGACTACCACGGCGGATGGAACTCCATCAAATCGATGTTTTTGGGTGCTCAAAGATGCAGTGTTTTTGAAACCGATGTGTGAAGAGGCTCTCATTGTCCATTTGTGAAGAGTGATCCGTCCTTTGGGCGTTGGGTTTTCCTGATTTCTTGGAAGACAGCTGAAAACAAATCCGTTGTGTACCATCAGAATTGACTGATCTGCGTTGTTTTAGCGTAGCGGTTGCGAAATGACAAGTTTTTCCGAAAAACAGGCGACGGCGTCTGTTTGGAAGTGCTTCGTGCGCAGAACAAAATTTTGGTTTGGATTTTGCTCTCTTGAAACTTCCATACAGTCGACTGCTGTTTACTTTCGGGCTCATACGCGTCAATCCGCGATTTCATCACTTGTCACGAATGTTCATAGCACTGTTTGAGCAACCGCGATCGTAATTTTTTAGGCATTTCTTTCGACCAATCGACACGAGCCTTTTTTGGAAGTGATTGAAACAAGTTGTGTGGGAATCAACGCGAACAAATTGTTTTTGACAGTCAAATGTTCGTGCAATATTGAATGTAGCTGATCCGCACTAATGCTTAAATGTCTCAATCTCGCGATAGGTCACATGAACGATCTTGCAATTTCAGTTCACGCACAGGAATCAAATGGTTTTTAGGAACAACTGATTTTGGATCGACCTCGGCGAAATTCGTCCTTGGAGTGACCTACGGACCACGATTAATTCACCATAACCAATCGATAAAGACTGGTCCTTGATGGAGCTTCATCGCCAAAATTTTGAATTTAAGTTCATCCATGCACTGTTTGCTGAGTTTAATCACGTCGAAAGTTGTAAAAACGTAATCGCACGAAAAATGTTTCCACGATTTAATTCGCATTTTTGGGCCAAGAATGAATCTTTTAAGTTACCTGTAACAACACACTAGCGCTTCTTATGTCAAAACGTTTCTGAGTACGTATAACATCACAACATCCAACTTTACGATAGAGCTGTCAGTTGCCAGATTTGCAACACCAGGGTTTTGGCAAATTCGAAACATAAAAAGGCAACCTTCGTATGCGCAAAAGTCGAACTACGCAATGAAAGAGAATTCGCAGAGTATTACAGAAGAGTGAGGCTGGTCCTTCAGTTCACTTTGAACTCCAGGAATAAAATATCAGCAATAGATAGTTTGGCGATGTCTTTGGCCGAATAGTTTTGGACTAGAGGACTGGACTGAGCAAAAAATTCGAATCACGCATCGAAAAACAGAAAATTGCTTACAATGCCTCATTTCACCCACTCACGGGCTGATGTACACGGACTTTATATGAGTCACGTGAGAGGGAGAGGCCCCAGACAAATTGAAGCCTCCTAGCTCGAGATAGGAAAGTAAGTCGTCAAGACGAGGCAGGTCATTAAATCTGACCTAAAAATGTGCAACAGAGGTATTGTAAGTGTAACAAGAAGAATTGCGAAAAAAACTATACAAGACACGCGAATAACACACACTGAACTTTTAATGCTATTTAATATGAAATTTGACACATAAAATGTTTAAAAAAATCGTGGAGAGAAAAACCACTCCATGGACAATATTTAAAAAGACTGACCAAGGCTCAGATCAATAAGAATCAATCATTTATGTGACTTAAAAAGGAAAGAATGAAGCCAGAATACGAAGCAGTGCGATCTGCCCAAGGTCAGGCGTAGAGAACACGACACTATGATAAAGAGGTTCTCAAAATTTCCCCAGATGAATGCAGATTTCCCAGGATCAGGTAGAAACCATTGATTATATTGTCTCAGCTTGTCCGATTCTAGCAAAGACCGAATACGTAAAGACACGATAAGGTGTTACCCTTACTGGCAGATCTGTATTGCCCTCTAAGTTCTAAACACATGTTCTAATTGGTACACTCACCAGAAACGGCGTCTGTTGGACTGTGCACAATACATTTGTACAACCACAAATTCAAACTGATCGCACAGTAGCGGCAAACAAACCGGATATTGTCCGGAATTTGGAGAAAAAATCGTGTATATTTGTAACGTAATGTAATGTGACTCAATAAATATTATTATTATTATTATTATTATTATTATTATTATTATATTAAAGTGGCTGGGCCTTGAGATCAAAACGTCGTAACCAAGAAAGCCGAGAAACCTCTTAAATAGAAGTTTGGAAATCGAGATCAGCTGAGTGGGGCGCAAAAGCACAGGTCACCCGACAGTTATCGAAGCTCCGCAAAATTTGTGTAAGAACTTGGCAAAACTCCCCAGGTCATTCAAAAGACTGGGAAGTGCAAGTTGTTGCTTTATTTGGAACAGCCCACATTGTGCGCAAAGTAATGTAGAGGCGCCGGCAGTCACTAGATCTGCTCCTTAGGAAGCTGGTTGCAACGTCGAGTAATTGTATATTCGACTAAATTATAACATCTTTAGTGGTGGAGTAGATGAATAATAATTTCTCTTATACATTGTAGCCTGAAGGTGGGAAAAATTCGTATCCCCGAAATGTCGATCAGCTAACTGCGGTTGACGAGAAAGAAAAACTTCATATATATAGTTTTTATTTTTTTGAATGGTCTCTGTCAAAGAACTCTGTGACCAAACTCGTGTAATATGTATGAATCAAATACCTTCACATATCTTTGATTGACACGCGATATGGCAGATATTTTTATGTATAAGTTGTAAAATCTAAAGATTTGTTTAGTCAAAAACAGTAAAAAAAACTGTATGTAACGTATGGGATCAACCTAGTGATGGCTCTAATTGTATTAAAAAATCCGAATTCATACAGTTTATATTGATACCCCCCCCCCAAAAAAAAATTGGGGGACTTAGCTCTCTTGGCTTTGCAAGGCCACAATTATACCGCCCATAAGTTCGTTTTCTGTATGTGCTAACCCTGATGCAGGTAATACAATAAACCACATAAACGTTGGGTTTTGAATATGCCAAGTTGTTTTAATTTGTCATAAACATAACATAGACGTTATTTAGCCTATTATTCTACTACATTTCTTCTATTTTATGCCATGTTGAAATTGTCACTAATATACATAATTCCATTCAATCTATACAGACGGTCAGTAGAAATTTATTTATTCTTCTCTCATAATTGATTTAATTGCGCGATAATAAACAATTGAAATGTACACAAAGATAAAATAAAGTTCGTAGACATTCGAAAATTTAAAAAAATTGTCTTCTCACAGCTTATTAAAGATAAATGTTATTGCTGAAAGAAAGACTCTCACTGTTAATAGGATGCATCCAATGTCTCATCTCTTTCGTTAAATTTTTCAGCTTCACATAACCTATAACAACTGTTTCTACGGCGTCCATATTGAGTACCGAGTAACGCCTGAAACGCGCGGTAAACAACGCTCGTGTGCGCCGGCATCGACGCGAGTTGACGTAACGTCACCAACGTTTCGCAACGCGCGTTACAAACACGCGTGTTTCTGCCTTTAAGATCCCTATTTGAAACTACACCGCAAGGACATGACAGGTCATTATTGTCTGTTAAGTTCATTGACCCTAATATTCTGCTATGATCTCTATATTGAATAAATGAGTGGCCCTCACGAACCAATGGATACAAACATAAAATTGTTTTTGTAAGATGGATCTCCATTCAGACATTAATCAAGGCAATGGATTGAAGATTATTATCCAGAGGTAAAGGATAGAACAAATATGTAGTTTGTAATGTATTTTATATGTAGAAGCTGTGCACAATTTTCTACAAATTAACAAAATATTTGGAAAGTACCGGAATAACTCCACAAGTGGTAATGCTCAAAAATGTCGTAAAGATCATTGCTATATAAAATGCAGAATTTCAAAGATATGTACAAAAATTTCTAAAAACTCACAACTTTTAATAATGTATTACATATATCAACATAACGCAATGGAAATGTCACACTCTCCTACAAATTAATCATTTATTTTATCATAAGTATAAAAATTCTTTGGTAGTCTTCTGATCTACAGCAAATCTAATGTGCTCAACATACATGCGCATGTATAAAATACCAAATGTTTACATTTCTTGTTGAAAAATTATGTAATGAACTGTAGAGGTTGAACAATAAGGTATAATTTAGCATAAATTTAAAAAAAGATTAACATTAAAAATTGAGCAAGTTTGACACCAGGTAATCTAACAAATATCACTGCCCACTTCAGACAATACAAAAATAATTTTGTTTACAGATGTGGTATATAAACAATGAAACCATAAAAACATAGTCTGTCCATGGCACTGCACTTTGAGACAAGCATACTACAGTGTTCCCAATTGCACTACCTCTGAAGAATACTGTTACAAGTACACTTTCAATTTCTGTATTGTAGGTCATAATTCAAATTAATTTGAATTATATTATTTGCACTGGAAACCATGAGTTAAAAAAGTTAATAAAAAAAAAAAATATGTTTGAAGTGAACACAAGAAAATAATACGACATCTTTCTAAGAGACCACATTTTCCAACGCTTCCATTGTGCCCCCTTATTTCCAAATTTCAACATACAATTTCTGGTGTGATTAACAAGTTTCATTACAGAAACAAACATGTATTTTGTGATTGTCTCAAGATTATTATTTGCAGTTACCTAAACAAGTTTTAGTTGTCACAAGATACACAGTTCATAGAAAAAAAGGCAATTATATTTCACCTGGCATTGACAGATAACTGTAAGAAGAACTGAAGTTAAAAGGCACTTCCATGGGGGGAGGGAGGGGGTCATTCGTTTATATATGAAAGTGCAAAAAATTATTTTCAAAAAATTCACATTCTACAACTTATTGCTATAAATTAATATTATAATTAGTAATACTTTGAGTACAATGTTCTCCTTGTCAGCAAACAGATACCGCTTGATTACATATGTATTTGGTGATATGTGTAAAAATTGCTTTCTTTTAATTCCCTCTAGGAAGTGCATTAGCCTTTGCTATTTTTTTTCACAAACTTTGGGCAAGGAAAGCGTACACATGTTCCTTGAAATTCACTTGCCTAAATTCCCACAAGAACATGGAAGAAAATTTATCAGTAATACTTCACCAACATTGCAAACTTTAGCAGCATTTGAAAGAATACTCTTGTTTTCCACAAATTGAATTTCTTTCCCTAAGACAAACATATTTCCAATAAGAGAAGGGTACAACAATGTGTCTGCAAAACCATTTTGTTGTGAATAAGACCAGCAAACATTACATATGCCTTAACTTGTATGAGTAGCTTATATTAAATTCTGAAAATATTATTTCACAAAGATTAAAGAAAAAATGAGCATTTATTTAAAATGAACAAATACCCTAGAAAAGTTCCATAGTCAGTTGGATACAAAAGTTTACATCCATTTATCTTAGTCTAAATTGCAATTACACACAACACACAAATATCAACAAATAAAGTAGATTGCAAGAGATATGTAGTTTTCTACATTATAGTGCCTTCACTAATTATGAAATCCAAAGAGCTTTATAAAAGTATTGATCAGTGGAAGTGTGTCTAAACTTGTATTGAAACAAGGCCTGTCTTACATACTAACCATGCACATTACTTCCAGCAGTAAATTACAAAACATTAATTGTTTCAATTATGAATAGTACATCAAGCAGTCAGTTGGCCCCCTAGGATAATTTCTTGTTTTACTAATATACAAAATGTTCTCATGAGGACCTAGCTAATAAGGTTAGGTGAGCATTGCACATCAAAAGAAGTGTTGGCAACCCAATACACAGAAGAATGTCAGGAACTACAAACATACTTGAGAGTTTTGTATTCTCCGGTTTATATTGCATATGATGAATTAATTCTCAAAATGTGGTTTGTTTTATTTATACAACAATTATAATTCAAACCAATTCATCACAAATTCAAATATGTTTTGTAATATCCAGGATGATGGATATAAGAATCACACAATTCAAAACAAATCTGTATCTGTGAAGGCTCTTGCATTATACTTCAGAGTATTAAATTCGTAATTATGCATTGTCAGTGGTCAGACAGTTATTTGTACTGGAATGCTACATATTTGGTAATGACCACCAGAAAAATATTTCCTCCTGGAGAACCAACCAATTTACTGATCTTATCAATAGGAAAGCACTCACGTAGGTCAAGCACATGATAATTCACACATTGATTTCTATTTTACCTGAAAGTTAAAGAGAAGTAACTTAAAAAAGCATACTAGGTTATGATTCTATCTTATGAATATATATTTTTATGTATTACATATACATATGAAATTTGTACACACAACAGTTAGGTGTAGAGATAACTACTCTTGAACTAAAGAAAGAGGGCACTGTTTTCTACACGGGAGTTCCCATTACAAATATAAAAAAATACATTTGAACAACACACCTTCAAATCTAACGTTTGGCAGCTTTGACAAGCTGGTTGTTCCTTACCCGATCCTCCCATAGTGCTTTCGAGGTAGCCTGGGCGTCGAAGGAAATCAATACTATAGTAGTATTCATCTTTGGCATTCTTATTTCTTTCTACTAAACTCAGTAACTAGTGCACCCAGTCTTCAGAGATAAGATTTAGAAGACTTTGTTCACTAGTTATTCAAAACACCCAGAAACAGTGCTTCCGCTGCACACTAATTATTTTTCCAAAAATGAGAAAAATTAATGGCACTAACTAAAAAGCAAGATTAACATTCATAAGTAATTGAAGTTTACCTCGCATCACAAATACTAACAATATGCACATTGCAGTAGATTTTCTTTATGAAAAATAAGCCAATATATACATGCGATCATTCATCACCTTAAAACATTGAGTGAGAATGGAAATACTCTATTTTTATGTGAAAGGCAAGGACCTATAATCTTGTTATTAGCCCTGAATTTGAGCATATACATCTCAACCTCAAGCTATTAATCTTATCAATACCAAGAGCCTACTCTGCATTAGTTTTCTTAAAGTTATATATGTTAATTTAGTGAATACTTTTCTTTTACTCATCACAATAGACCAAAACAAATGCAATGGAAAAATTAAACATTGCAACATCCAGGTCCACTAGCAAATACTGTACATGCACCAAAACAACCACTATTCCACACTTTAAAAAACCTTACATCTATGCTTATTACTTGATTATTAAATACAATCTGCGAATATTTGTAGTCTCAGAAAATGTATAAATTGTGATAAGGACACTCAAACACAGGGCTCTGTGAGACTTACATCTACAAAGCTTTAGCAGGGTAAATATTTAATGCACACATAAAAGAGATATTACAAGATTTTGTACTATGCACACCCATGGAATTCAGGAGACTTCTGAAATAATTCTGAAGCCTTTTTTCCTAACACTTCCTAAGTATCCTGTTTGTTAACAGAATATTTCCTATATATGAGGTAATTAATAAGTTAAACACTCACTGTTACAGACATAATCCTAACACCTTACTTTATCTTATCAGAACAAGGATATTATTGTTTACACAATGGAAGTATGTCAGTATCTTGAAGCAAGAATCAGAAGCCTCAGCTCATTTCCTCAATCAAGCATTTTTAGACACTAAGAGATATTAAACTCCAATTACAGTTTCACCTTCACAATCAAAGGAATTAAGAATCAAATAATTCAAAATATTCCTTTGATGTAAAACTTTTAAAAAGGAAACTAAGATAGACAATGTTTTTTATTATGAAAAGAATTTACTTGAAAAGAAACGTGATAGATAATAAGTATAGAAAGAAAAGAAAATTCACAAAAAACAATATCAATCATGTTTCCAGAGAATGTTCCCAAGAGACTCAGGAAAGAATTAAAGAACAGAAGCTTCCATAGAACTATCATTTCTGACAAGTAAAAACATCAGGACTACTAACTGTTGGAGGAATTATAAACAAAAAATCCTGAGATTATGAAGAGACTCGGGGCACTTTAATTCCACACACATTCTTGAAATTAGATGACTGAAGTGCCAGAATATTGGGCAAACCTCTGACATTGCCCACACAAACTTCACAGGACCTTTAGTCCCTTAGAGCTTAGCAATGGCTCATCCAATGCTTCAGCAATATCAATAAATCCTAGTTTCCCTTCACTTGTAAATATATTTCCACAAGTTCCCATCAATTTCTTTGTAGAATGCTTTAGCTGGTATACTAATTATACTAAAATATTGTTCTGTGTATCATACAAGGCACCAAGAATATGTGCTATACGCCTCATTGGCTTAAATGTAATTAGAATGATCCACACAATTTTTATTGAATTTGGAAACGATTCAGGCTTCACATGAAATGACATTTTTCATACATATATAATTTTCAATAGTCCAAAATGTATGCATTGATGTCATTTTCAATTCCTTGCAATTCATAATGAAGAATACAGAAACCCTGTGCACAATCAACTGCAAGGTGCTTGTAGAGTACAAGGACCAGATAAGAGTACAATCTTCTGTGAGATTGTACTTTCAGCTGCACATTGCGAACAATTGAACTCCCAGAGAATGACAAGCGTAGGAGTAATTTGCATGTTATTCAAACTAGAAACAATTATTATTGTATACTTTAACAGCAATGCTGAGAATGTTACACATCAGTTTGATTCTTAACATAGTGAATTTTGAAGAAGTAAAATAATAACAAATTTAACAAAGCGTAATAAACAGAAACTCACACAGTTTAACATCATTACAGCTCTGCCTTTCAAGCAAAATCAACTTACGAAGATCACAGGATTTATAGAATTGTAAAAGCAATAACAAGTATCTAGAAAAACAAAATAAAAATACAACTGGCCACTTACTTTAAAATGATTCACCAAAATCTCATGAATAATTGATCTAATCAAAAAGTACATTAGTGTAAAATGAGACCCTACAAATAGAAAATGATTTCATCACAATTAATAAGAACAATAAACTTTAACAAGGAACAGGCATTAACAAAGAAAGAAAATGGTCAGGTATCTGAGAGAAAAGAGTAGTTGCGGTCATTAAGGTGTGACACACCATCATTACTTCTCAGTCTACTCAGCCCGATTAAAGTAATCCGAAGAGTCTCCTCGGCAGATTGGGCAGGTTCGATTAGTCTGTAACAGAATAAGTTGTAAATTTACAGCAAACAAAAATAATTGTTTAAAGATGCGAATAAATGCAATAAAAAGTATTTTCATTACATATTTCGTTAACATATTTATTGGAAAATAAATAAAAAATATTTTAAAAACTGACCACACAACAAAGGATAATTTACCTTTAGCCACTTATCAACACACTTAGCATGGAACTCATGAGCACAGGGAAGAACACGTAACAACTGGCGAGATTCAAAATCACACATGCAGACAACACACGAAGTCTGCTCACTTTGATGGCTATCAACATTGTACCTGCAAAGAATTGTGAATTAGACAACGTATCTTTGCTCTTAAATGTTGTATTTGTACTTTATTTTTAAAATGACACATCAACTTAACTTCAACAAAGGCAATACATACTTATATGATGGAAGCTGCTCTATATCCACTTTGGCTAGGCCTCTTGGTTTTGCTTCTCCCAGTCTCTCAGCAAGACTCAGAAGAGCTTCATAATTTTCTGTCTCTGAATCTGTATTGCCCAGTTCAGCCTGGTTGAATGGGGACAGTGGAGGATTGGAAAACATTCCTCTGCAAGAGTAAAAATCATAAAATCACCTCAAAGAGTGAACAAGTTCACTTGATTTTTTGACTCCAGATTCATTATTTGCAATCTGAAGATTAATCAATTTATTACTACAAAAAGACTAAGAAATATGGTTTACAATCAAATTCAAATATCAACTACATTATTTTGACACTTACAAGAAATGCAGAACGATCCCTGGATATGGGGCAGGACTGGGCAGGGGAGATGCCCGCCATCTACGAACCGCAGCTCGACGACTAGGAGCAGCAGGATGTCTCCTCCGAGCTTGCTCCAAATGACCTCCTCTGGCTGCAGCCTACATTCACAAGTATCACATCATTATTTGTACTTTCCACGTAACTCGTATACATTTACAAAAGAAAGATTTAAATTTTCCTTGCCAAAAAAATTAAAACTACTGCATTTTGTAAGAAATGGACTATTCCAATAGTTAGAGGAAGTCTTGAAGATGCTTCAAGTATACTGTGAAAATATTAAAGTTTTCTAGATTAATTAAATCATAATGTTAAAAAAATTCTCATTTAACTAACACAGAAATGTCAGTTGAGACATGTTTCCTTAGTTGCCATCCACCCTTATTTAATTTCTTGAAGGTTACATTGTACTATTGGGTGAAAAATAAGTGTATTATAATTGTAGTAATTTTCCCCAAAGCAAGAAAATATAATGGAACAAGCATAGTTAAACATAAAGAATTAATGAGAAATTGAAGGTTTGAATATGGGCACATGCTAAATGTTTGTGTGGCAGCTATTTTTGAGCTCAGTTTTTCATTGAAAACAATGAGTGGCATTCAACTAGAATCTAAATGGCACATCAATTTTTCAAAATAAGCCACAGCAAATTAGCAGAATTTTATTTCGTATTTTCTCACTGCATCTAAGTGTATTCCATTGTGTATAAGCACATGAAATTAACCTATCACAACCAGATTTAATGGCAAGCAACCTTGTTTTTTATTTATGTCTGAATTTAATCAACAAATTTAAGGAACTAAGAAAACAATTGTGGCAATGTGATATGCTATTTTCTTTTTTACATCATGGAAAAAAAGTATTGCAAGTAATGCCAAAAATAGTACGATAAAAAGTATTAAATTAATAAGTATTAAAAGTAGTAACGGAGTAAGGCTGATGTTTAAGCAATGTGACTCAAAAATAGTAATAATCTTCCCAAATTTTTAAGAGATGTATTTATGATTATACAAAAATGAATAGACTCCCAACAACGATGGGAACATCAACTAGAGATTTATAAATAAACAAACCAAACTAGCAGTTATAAAATTATGAACAGCAAATAGCATAAAGACAAAATAACAATTAAGAGAATGTACTTCGATAATACTATTAATTTCCACTGCATGAAATCACATAAAATTGCAAAAAACACAGAAAACAGATTTCTAACTTTCCTATAATCTCTAATAAGAATAGGGCACCCCAAGAGTTTCTCCTAAGAGCTGTACAGATCTATCTGAGCTCCAAAAATGCATTTTTCAAAAATCAAATCTCAAGTACAATTTATTGCCATGAACATGAAAGTTTCATGTCGACAACTGGTTTCGTTTTTGATTCTGGGTGGTGGTGGTAATGGTGGTGGTGGTGTTTGTAATTTTTAGGGGATATATGGGTGAACATATACAACATGAACTAGAAAACATGATTAAGCTATGTTAATTACTCATATTTTATATATATATATATTATATATATATATATATTATATATATATATATATATATATATTATATATATATATATATATATATATATATATTGAAAAAATCAATAATTTATATTATCCAAAGAATTACAGGATACAAATTATATAACCCTGGTTGAATTTGAACCTACAACATTGGACTACAATTCCTAATTAAGAAAATGGAAGGAAACAAATTATTACAGTTTTATTTGTTAAAAAGTAAATAGCAATATTTTTGGAGAAGTCTGGTTTACACTATAAGTTTGGATATTTGTAATATTTTTTTAATCAAAATATGATTTTCTAATAATGGCATGAGCGCTATAAAGACAAACAAAGGTGTGAGCACAAAATCCTTTAAATTGGAAAAAAAAAATTTTTTAAGTCAACAAAATTTCTATTGTTGTAGCATTATGTATCCCCTTAACCTACAATTCACCAATTTTCATACCAGAAAGATAAATGATCTTTGATTTCTAAAAAGACAGAACAGAACTCAAAAGCAATCTACCTCAGAGAGGAATATTGTAGGAGGAGATGTTGGAACTGGAGCATGTGGATGCACTCGGGTGCGAATGCGAGCTGGATGCAGCTGTGGACGGTGTAGAATAGGCCCAGCGCTACGTTCCAGCTCTACCTCATCAGACCACTGTAAAACAATGCAAAAAAAAAGTGAGATGGCCTCAAATATTATTATTTAATCACTTTTGAAAGCCATGTAAAACCTGAGAAATCACATAAAATTGTTAATTCTGAAATGTAATATAAGTCAAGTGATTTTTCTGTTATACCAAGAAATATCACTTAAAGACATAACAAAATATTCTAATTTCTAATGGTTTTGGGTTCCATTTTATTGATACACAAAACTCCTATTTAGCAGAAAAATACTTTGCTAGAAGGAAAGAAAATGGACATATGAAATTGAATATTTTTGAAATGCCCTTTTTATAACTTAACACACATTGCAATGTAGTTGTGTTAAGTCAATTAATGTAACTTTTACCATTTTCCATTTCATTAGGATCATTAGATCATCCATTTCATTAAAAATATTATATGTCTCATTGGAGTTACAAAGGTTCTTCCTACCTGCGGTTGGAGATGAGTGTAGTGAGTGGCTGGCATAGTCAAAGGGGTAGGCTGTGGTGGCTGTGGCAGAAATGCTGGAGGAGGGTGATAATAAGATTGTTGATGATGATGGTGGTGGTGATGTGGATGTGGTTGCAAACAGCTGCCAAACTGGGCAACCTTAAAATAAAGAAAATTTCATCATGAAGATTATATTTTATAAATGTTGTGTCAACTGTATTAGTGTGTTATCCCGAATATTGTAACTGTATAAAACTTGCATATTAAATATCATGATTCATTGAATTAATTAAAGCAAAATTTGGGAGAAAAACACAATTATTTATTCTTACTTAATTACTTTAACTTCATGGGCAAATGCCCTTGTACTGGTTGAGTTGCTTCAAGTGGTAAAAAAAAATGCATCACCCTATTCTCTTCAATTAAATTAACAAAGGTTCCTAATGCATAACATATTGCTGTGAAATGTTTAGATTATGACTGCTTTATAATACAACTCCTGTTTAGCATGCAGTCCTGCAATCATGCCTGACTAGCCAGGAGGTCATTGGGATGTGACATACAGGGAGAAGTACATATTGTGCACATTATCTGGCGTTCATCAATCCTTACTTCTTGTCCCTGAAAAGACTCACCTGTATATAACAAAACATGTCAATGTAATGAGTGTAGAGTACCTTAAGTATAGAGTATATTACATTTCAATATTAAAATAAATGCTTAAACACTCAATTTATTTGTTACCCTTATTCACAATTCAATAACTTATATTTCACTTAATTTTCAAATGCATTTTCATTTTTTCTGATATCAAATCTAAGTTATGTACATTTACAATAATACACACACTTGTAACAGAGAATTAAACATAATGATTTTCAAATGAAGTTTAGTGAAGAAATCATATGGTAATGTTCTTCTATTTGGCATATGAAAACCCTATTCATTTTGTAAATGTGGACATGAAAAAGGCTCTCATATATATATATGATATATATCATATATATGATTTCATATAGCACTTTCATGCAATGATTCTTTATGACTTAAAAAGTGGTTTAAATCAATCTGAAAACCTTGATCATTTGCAACGGGTCTTCAGGGACCTTGCGTCTCCCCATGCAACAATTTTTTGGAGATTTCAAGAATTCAGAAGAGGCGGAACTTTGATGAAAGACAAGGAGAGGACCGGGAGTCCGGCAATTGCAGTGCCTGAAGAAAATATCATCGCTGTGGAAAAATTGGTGTGAGAAAACATCATAAGACATTTAAAGACATTGAAGGGTTCCTACAGCCTGAATCGCTAGTAGTTTCCAAAAACCTTTATGTTTATCTTGGAGTCAGGGAGGTTGCATCTTGATGCGTGCCCACACTTTGACAATTGAAAAGATTTAAAAGAGGCAACTATAGGCACATTTCTGACAGTTACTGATGGCAAAACGTGGATTTATCAGTTTGATTTTGAAAATAAGTGCCAGTCCACTGTATGGATTTTTCCCGACAAACTTCCACCAACAAAAGTTAAGCAGCCTCAAAGCGTCAGAAAGAAAATGGTAGCAACATTCTTGTCCAAAAGCAGTCACGTTGCAACTGTTCCACTGGAAGAACAAAGAACTGTTACTGCTCTGTGGTATACAACAATATGTCTATCAAAAGTTTTCGCCAAGCTTCAAGAACAGCGACCGAAGAAAGGACAATGCGTCTGCACGCACTGCCAACCTCACAATTCAGTTCCTGGAGTCAGCAAAGGAAAAACTAATGACACATCCACCTTACAGTTCTGACCTGATCCCAGATGATTATTTTCTGTTCCCTACAATCAAAAGTCACATACAAGGAAGGAGGTTCTCAAGACCTGCGGTAGCTGTTGATGCCTACAGAAGTGGACTTTTAGCATTCAAGGAAAATGAGTGGAAAAACTGTTTTGAAAATGGGTTTATGAGAACGCAAAAATATATAGAATGTTGTATTTTGAGAAAACAGTTATCAAAATGATTTTAATTTCTTAATTTTTGTGTATCTCAAAACTTTCATAGACACCCTCGTATGTTTTCAAGTAATATAAGTAGGCAAGACAAAAAGTCAAGGCAATTGTTTTTAAACATTTTTATTGTGAATTGAAGACTTTGAAAAGAAATATTTATCAACCTAATCTCTCACATCTTCTATACACTTGGTGCATTTCTTGATAAGCTTCACAATTCCATCCTGGAAGAAGTGTTGTAGTACTGTCTTCACAATCTTGGCTTCTGATAAAAACTTAAATTCATGCAGGTGCACCTTCGTGCAACTAATAAAGGTGGAAATCACTCAGAGCTAAATTCGGCAGAGGGGAATGGCTCTCTAAAAATTCAAAACCAAGATCTTGTGTGCACTGGATTGTGTTCTTGGCAATGAGGACAAGCATTGTCCTAAAGCAAAATCACACCTTTGGTAAGTTTTCCCCTGCCTCTTAGATTTGGTTCTTGGTTTCAGATCTCACAATAGCATACAGTAGCTGTCACTATTAACTGTGTGACCTTTAGGAGTGTAATGAACAAGAAAGGGACCATTTGTAACCCAAAAGATTGTCATCATCAACTTTCCTGCTGATTGATTTTTGAACTTTTCTTGCTGTCGGCAAGTTTGGATGTTTCCGAATGTTGTGTTTTGTTGTACACCAGAGATTCAATGTGTACCATGTTTCATCCATGCTTACTATGAGACAAACTCTTCCCCTTACTCTTCAAAGTGTCTTAAACATGACTTTGAAGTTTCCAAACAGTTCTGTTTGTGTTTCTTTGTCAGTTCACTTTAATCATTCATAACTATTTTATACAGCTTTTTATTTTATTTTTTGAAAAATTTAGTATTAAATAATTTTTTTTTAACTATCGAGGAACATTGGAGACCATGGGTCCAGACCCTTCTGGCTTGTGCTTTAACACGGCACTTGTTCATTAATGTATTCATTCATTGGTTGGTGTGTCAATTGGTTGATATAATGATCAACTGAACAATTGATTGAATCAATGATCGGGTGATCAAATGGTTGAATGTATTATACATTGATTAAATGAATGATTGATTGAATGAATATTTATTTGAGTTTTCATTTACAAAAGGCATGAACAAAAGTAAATTTTGATCCTTTTCGTCTTCCCCATTTTGCAATTTTTTTAAAGTTCAATATTATATTAATTACTACAATGCTTGGCAATTCTTTTTTAGAGCTTGAAATCTCTAAATCTGGGTGATTGAATTTTTTTGTTTTTATATACTCTGTACATTTTTCTATATACTCTGTAAAATTGCTGATACTACATATAACTACACATAACATTTTTTTTATTTAATGTGAAATATTAGATAGTTTATGTAAGTTACATTGTTTAGATAGACATACATTTAAATGGGTCATTTAAACTACATATAGGATGTAGACTACATGTCTTCTTACACAAATCAATCAATACCTTCATTTGAATAATACCTTTTTATCTTCTGAAGATCACATGCCAAGGTAAAATATTTTATTTCAAGAGTGGTTTCAATTCACATTTAAAAGATCAGACATTGTTATCATCCCCAATAAGTAGGTAAAAAGAGGAAAATAAAGTTTAAAAAACAATTAATTTCAAATACGTAAACACAGTACAATATTCAAACACTTGCACCCGTTAAGACAACTACATCATTATTACTACTTTGATTTCTTAGTGTATTATCTTTCTCTTCTATAAAACTAAAAGTACAACTCACCTGACAAGCTGCTGGAAACTGAGAACAGCAAGCACAACCGTAGACGCCATGTAGCTGGCAAGCAGGTGGAGGAGGGACAGGCGGGGGAGGAGGAGGAGGCTGGCCACATCCAGGTGGGCCAGGCATGAACATAGCCACTGGGGACACATTGCGAACGTGCGCAGCAGCAGCTGCTGCTGCAGCGGCTTCACTGCCAGCATCCCGTGGCAGGGCTCCTGCAGGCAAGGCTCCCGCTGATACCCCCACTCCTGGTCCCCAGCGGGCCCCTCCCACAGCTCCCACAGGCTGAGGCCCCTGAAGTCCCTGCAAATCAAGCCCCACAATGTTTTAAGCAATTATTCGCAAAATATTCTTTTAATGTCATACTTCAATTCTGTTATAAAAATGTTCTAAAAATTCAGAACGTGTGAAGAAATGAACATGTTTATTTTGAAAAATCACAATGGCAATGCAAATTATACATGAAAGTAACTGATTTATTTATTTACTGTACAGACATTAATACGACATTAATATTACAAATAAATCACAATAGAAGAAGAAGATGGCATTTACAAGAATTATTTATAACAAAAAAATTTGTAAGAAATATAATTTACAAGTATATTATAATGAATAAGTATAAACTAAATAAATCAAATATATTACAAGTATATATTTATTTAAAGTAAATTGAAGAACTGATGATCTCAAACATGTTATCAGCTCACTTATATTAAGATCTAAAATATCTAGATTTTGATTATTTATAATTTTACAAGTTCTAAAGAAAAAATTATTTGACGTATAAAGGACAAGAAAAAAGGTTCAATATACCTTATAGAACTATTAGGGACATAAAAGAACAGTTTACTAAATAATAGAACTATTAGGGACATAAAAGAACAGTTTACTAAATAATAAAGAGCAATTTATGGTACTATGTAATAGTTTACATAGGAAAACAAGGTCATTGTAGGTCCGAGACAATTTAAGGGTATATTTTACTCGACATTTGTGAGATTCTTGCATAATTATAATTTAAAATCGGATCAGTACAGCCAAGTCTTCTGGAGAGAAATTGATAAAATCTATGCTGTACTCTTTCATGCCTATTGATGTGAAAATCAAAATATGGTGACCAGAAAGTAGAAGCAAAAAGTAGGTGAGATCTAACTAATGAATAATACAATGTTCTCAAGGCTACAGTACTTCGGATCTTTCTACATGTTCTCTTAATCAGTCAAAGTTGTTGTATGGATTTATTAATAATCATATCAATATACATAATAAAATTCATTTTTGAATCATATATAACACCAAGATCCTTTATTGAAAAAACTGGTTCAAAGCATATATCATTAATTTTGTAATAACTATGAATGACTCTAGAGAAAGTTATGAATTTGCATTTTTTTAGGATGAAGATATAATCTATTTAATAAACTCTACTGATAGAACATTGTACAGATCTTTAATGTCTTTGATAGATTTTAAGTTTTAAATAGTTTTAAATTATCAGCAAATATAAGAAACTGAACACTCCCCACAAGTGGACAAATATCATTGATAAATACAACAAATTATAAAGGACTTTATGTAAACCTTGGGGTACCCCTGAGGATACAGTCATTTCATTAGAGATGAGACTTATGTATTTGATATATTCGATTCTATTATGCAAGTAATCAGTTAACCATTCCAGATACACCAAAACATTTAAGTTTTAAAATTAACTATTTGTGGTTTACAGAATCGAACACCTTGCTAAAATCAGTATAAATAGTATTAACTTGGATATTCATTTCCACAGAGCTCTGAATATACTGCCACTAAAGAACTAAGTTACTTTCAACAATACATCCTGGCATAAATCCATGTTGATTAACTCACATAAATGGAGTAATATTAGATTTTAATTTATCTGTAACTATTGATTCAAAAAGCTTAGGTATAATACCAAGGATAGAAATTGGTCTATAATTGGAAATTTCATTTTTAGAGTCAGATTAATTAATGTTTTATTATTATTTACTTATTGATGGTGGCAGCAACAAGCTTACAACACATATCTTACATATCTCAATAAATGCCTGATGAAAATAATGGGAGAGATCTCTAGATTTTTAAATGTCAGCCCAAGTGAGTATACCAAGAGCAACTATGTGGTGTAGCAGTAACGTGCATGGCACATGAACTGGATGGATTCAAGTTCCTGTATTTGCAATGAAAAAATGTTCGGTTAGTAAAAAACCATTTTTGCAGGTTGAGGTAGTAGAAAGTAAGTAGTAGTAACTATGTACGTACACAACTATGTACGTACATAATTATGTACGTACATACTTATGTACATACATAAGTATGTATGTATGTATAATATGTATGCACATAATGTGCATACTTATATGTATACTATACGTATGTACACAAATATGTACGTAAGTATGCAACTATGCAAGTATATAAGTATGTATGTAAGTAAGTACATAAGTAAGTTAGTAAATAGTATTAAGTCGTCATCATAGTAGTATAGTGTATTGCATAGCCGTTAAAAATATTGCAAGTAAGTACATGCTATTGTACCATCACTAGTTTTTAATTGTTAAATAATTTAATATTATGTATATAATTATACATTTGCTATTGATATATCTATGTGCTACAATAAAATACTGTAAGTACTGTAAGTATACTGTACGTAAGATATTGTTTAATTCATGAACATTTATAGATTCCATTTGTCACTAACCATTCATTTCTTTTTAATGCAATTAATATTAAAGAACTTACCTTGCGTCCATCATCTTGATTATGACTCCGGAAATATGGTGGTGAAGGAGGTACCTGTACTGGACTGAGCCGCAAATCTAGAAATGAATGGAAATGAATGAATTCCTTTGGTCATTTAACCATCCTTAAAACAATAGAGGGATCATTCAATACAATTCCACGAGACTCACATGAACCAGTGAAAAATATATCATCCACGAAGAGACTTCAAAAGAGTCACCATAAACAAAACACACAGTAAACACTACCACAAGTAAGAGATTTGATGATAAATGATAAAAAGGTGGAAAGGAAAAGGGAACACAAAATTCAAAATATTACAGAGATCACTTACCAGTATTATGCCATGGAGGATCTTCTCCGAGACCTGCATGGAAATGTGCTTCCATAGCACTCGCACCTGCCCCGCCAGGACTCAAATTCAAAACAGGTGCATGTAAAGTATTATCCTACAACAAAAAAACAGAATCAAAATTCAAAATAACGTTAAAATATAATATATAAAAAATTAACTCTATTCAATATAAATAAAATACAGCACATGATGTATCAGAGTAGTTAGTATAATATCAATTTCTAACTCTTTTTTCAACACTTTCCAAAATATCCATTCAAAACATTGTTTCAAGTAGTATGGTAAGTATTGGTGGTAGTTGCGCAGTGGGACTATTCATTGCAGTGGGGTAGTCGCCGCAGAGGTGGTAGTCACCGCAGAGTTGGTAGTCGCCGCAGTAAGGGTAAATGTAGGCGTAGTATTAGCAGTAGTGATGGTGGTAGTTGTAGAATAATGTAGTAAAATAAGGCATCAATTCAATATAGTAGTGTTGATGGAAGCTGAAGTCCAACGGGAGCTAGGCATAAGAAGTAAGGAGGCTTCCATAAATTATGTAATGTGTTTTTGTTTTTACATTTTTTTACATTTTTCAACATTTGCTGAAATAATTTCTTTTTTGAATACTGTACTAAAATGTTAAAATTCTAACTAATTACTTTGTTTTAAAAGCCGGTTAAAGTTGGCCGCTTGGGCAACTCTGCGATCAAGAAATTTGAATTTACAAAAACTCACAATTTACTCTCTTTTTTACCATTATTTTTCCCCTGATTAATTATATTAAATTAATTAATATTCCCTGATCAAGATGGATGTCACAGATTTTGGAAACTGATACTTTGTATAACTGATCCTTTAATTTATGATGGTATTTGGAACGAAGCTAACATGTTTCAGTCATTCCTTGAACAGAAAGACGTTTGTTTAATAATACAGGATTGGTTACACTTTAATTAAAATCTCAGGAATATCGAAAATTGCGAATTTGACCGACACCCTCCAACAACATCATTAAAAATTGACATTTTTTTCTTTAATGATATATATTCTTCAAATATAGATCTTTTCTTATTTTATGTACACACTTGTTTAAATACTAGTTGTTTAATTTTGATGAAGTTAAATTTTTTCGAAGCATTCCTACACGTTACAAATGGAAGATTGAGTTGTATCTTAATGCAATCTCTTCCGCGATATTAGATCTTATGTCCACCAATTTTTTTAAAACGGTTTTCTACATTTGAGTAGTTTCCGCGTAATATTCAGTTACCCATTTTGAGTTTTTCAAGTGATGACTGTCGTGTAGTAGGATAGAAAGTAGAAGATTAAAATAGTCCGTAACTATTACCATTAATACGAGAAAGCGTGTATTGTTGTGTCCGTAATAGTTTTTATCCTATCAGTAGTACACCCAGAAAGTATTAAATTCAGTCTAAAAACCCACCGTAGAGATTTGGGAAGCCTTTTTAGGGTTCCGTTCACTAAAATACTAACTTAAGTAACATCAGCGTGAACCACCTCGCGCACGGGTCATTCCACTTTAAGTTGTCCAAAATTAAATAAATTAACCGCCCCACCATCTCAAAAAAATAATACTTTGTGTTTTAATTCCCTTGTTTTTGGTTGTTCAAAAGTTGTTGCTTTTAAGTAAATCACGACGGAAGCCATTTTTGTTTTAAACTGCGCAAAATTTTTCGCGTTTGTTGACACGATTTTGAAAAAAAAACTTAGCGCTAGGTTGTAGAATGTATCTACATAATATGATATCGTGGGCTTCCACGGCCAGAGTCGATATTTCGACCGACATCGTGGTCCTCTTCAGGGCTGTACTGCGCCAGGACGTTGAACGCTCAGGATTCTACTGAAGATGGGCCGGGCTGTGATAGGCCGAGGTGACGGCGAATCGGGCACGACCAGTAGGAAGGGGAAACGAACATCAACGGGGATGCGGGGTTACGCCTCCACGATGCGGGGTGCGCGGTCCCGGGAGGCCGCCAGCCCCGACTGCACCATGCCGTCCGAACTCGGACTGTTCCCGTCCGTCCGTTCCGTTTCGTTTCCACCTGGTCGCGCCCGATTGGCCGACACATCGGCCTATCACAACCTGGCCCACCTTCAATAGAAAGCCCTGAAGAGGACCGCGATATGTCGATCGAAACATCGGCACCTCAGCCTTCGACGCCCGGAAAGCCCAGATCATCAACATAATATGTTTTTAATCATGTAATATTTCCAACCAAAACTATCAAACGACAATGAATCAATTTTGACTTTCCGATAATCATTTTCCTTTCTCACAACTGCATACGTAGAGTAAGAGAAAGTGTTGTAATGCTGCGGGAAGAAATGACGAGAGGGGGAAACTTTACACGAGGCTTTCAAACATTTCAAAATTTTGAAAAAAGGAACCGAATGTTTTTATTAAATTTAAGGTTGTACATAATTTATATAATTATATAAATGGGTGTTGCTATACTTAAAAGCGGTAAACTCCGTCACCGGACTGGGACCTATATCCTAGTCAAAAGGCTAGTCAGTAGCAGTGAAAGTAACCATGAATACTTTAAACATTCAATAGAAAAAGTTTTTAACTGAATGTGAAGAATAATTTGAACAATCTTAAAATGTATACTAGTACATGAAATTGTATGTTTTTTCTGTTCAATTCATTCGTTTCCAATTGAAGGGAAACATTTTTATTTTTATTTATTTCCTTACTTTCTTCAACAAATACGAAATCATTCATTGCTCTTATTTATCACATTGATATTATTTTTCTTCTCCTCCTTGCAAGATAATACTAGAAAATCTCCTTGCTCTTCAGTATACTGTTAATACACCTAAGGAGAAATATAATGTTAAAGAACAAAGAGTTTACCTGACAAATATTGACATGCAGCGGTGGGGAAATCTGATGCCTTTCTGGAGCTACAGGCCCAGCAACCGTGTGCCCTGCCACCGGAGAACTCAAAGGCCCAGATGGCTTTGGGTGGCCTTGGCGAGGTCCATAGGCAGAGTCCTTCTGAGGGACATTGCTTCCCGGAATGGCAATTGGCGAGCAATCGCTGAAATAATCCATTTACATGTCAATTATAGGTTAAACTTGAAAAGTGTAATTCCAATTACAACCTCCAATTTACATACACTTTTTGAGGTTAGAGCAATCATTATTCTCCTAAATAGCTGTTGGTGATAAAAGTCTCTCAACTAATAAACAGACTTCATAGACATTTGATACAATAATGCAGTAAAAGAGTAAATCAGTAAAATGTTTTGCAACAAAAGGATTTAATAAGGATAGAAATAACCACTAACCATTGAAAATGTATTAACGTGAGTGAAATTCATTTCGACTCAGGCTGCATGCAGCCCCCTGGCCGCCAGGTTGATATACTTGTTCTAAGAAAAGATCTTTTAACATCACATTCACATCCAAGACGAATTTTCGAAAGCATTCTGAATCAAATTTCCTTTGCACTGATACTGCACATAACCTTACTTTCCCAACTATTCTGAGCAATCAATGTTCAAGAAAACCTCTGAATTCCAAACTCACTATTAGTGGAGAGAATGGTGTGCGATTGCGCGAGTATCGTGGCGTGAGGAAAAGCGTGTTTTGGGATGCAGTGCGGGATGGAGAGGGTGTGTCAATTTGAGTGATGTGTAGGAGTATGCCATGGTATGGAATGTTATAAGTCGTGAGGGGCGGGTCGTATGTGTATACAAAGTCGGTAAAAATACTATGAATGAATTTTTATACTTAAATTAAAACAGAAATACATTTCAAGGTCACGAGCTGAAAAATAAAGGGGGGGCACTTATCCAATCGCGAGCTTCTTTACGACTTAAATGTTTGGTATTGAAGCTCCCGATTGGTTGACAATGTCCCTCATTTTTCAGTCGTGACCATTAAATGAACGTTTTAACCGTATATAGCAGAAACTGGGAGGCGCATCTTCAATTTGATCTAATGTGTTCGACAGCCTGATGCGTTATGATTGGCGGGGGTAATTTTGAACACGTTCCGACTTGTCAGTCAGCTCCCGCAGCCACTTGAGTAAGGTCGTGTTTACCGTGTCTGTCGCGCATCATGGATTTCGATCCATGCACAATAATTGTTTCACGCTGAAAAAGTGCCTAAGAAGATCATGAAATGTTCAAATTAATATATGGTGATAATGTGGTGTCTCTGAAGACTGTTTGCAAGTGGTAAGAGCGATTTGAAAGGGAAAATAAGTCAAAGACGAGTAACGGGCGTGACGTCCTTTGACCTCAAAAACAGATGAAAAGGTGCAAAAAGTGGCAAAACTTGTTCGTTCAAACAGACTATTCGAAAACTTACTGAAGAATTTAACATCTCGTACGGGTCCGTGCAAAGCATTTTAACCGATAATTGACAAATGAGACGACCAGAAAAATGAGCCAATAGCGGCTTCCTTCATCGCTGTAAGGCGCCGTGCCACACGTCGCTTTTCATTCGCGAATTATTAGCCATGAAAGTGTTCCTGTCTGTCCACGTCCACCTACTCGCCAGATTTAGCACCACGTGACTTGTGGCTCTTCCAGAAAATAAAAAGCATTTTAAAAGGAAAATATTTCACATCATTCATGACACTGAGGACCACGACGTAGCAACTGAAAGAACGCTCCCAGAAATGCTTCGTCATCGATTCAACGTTGGGATAAATGCTTCACCAGCTAAGGATACTACTTTGAAGAAATTAATTTTAATTCTATGTAAGCTTATTCCTTTGTTAGTAATAAAATTATTCATTATATTTTTGTATCACAGCAACGCATGTGCCATGGAGTCGTGATTTAAGTGATTGTTCTATGGGAGGGACTGCAGTGTGCCGCAAGGAGGGTTGCTCCAGAAACTGACCAATATAGGCGAAATTATCGACCCAATCCTTTTCTAATCGTAAATACAAAGGAAGATGATCAACTGAAAGCTTAGGCTTCCTCGGCCGGAGTACGTACTTGTATATTCTTGGCTGTCTGGGTCGCCGCGTCCTAGACAACTGCCCAGAACGCGGCGTTTCCGGGAAAGCCGAGCCTTCATATTTCATAAAGATTCAGAGAATATTTTATTTTATTCGGTCCAGATAGCTCCCTTTATAAATTATTATTTATATTATTATTATTATTATTAAAGCAGATGACTGAAATAGATGAAGATGTGCAATTGCTTATAAGACCACCATATCCGAATTACTCGAAAAATCGTGTAGGGTGTAATATTGCAACAGTGGTTGTGCAATTTTACCAGTTTAGATATGTTGTTTATGTCTTAACATCATCCAGTGTAAATAATATGCAATGCAGTGGCCTAATGGAACCGAGGGAACCATGCTTCTCCCAGTTAGCAAGGTCAACGAACGTGTTTGTATCATTTGCGTAAGCAATTCATGAGAATCGCGCGATTGTACATTGAAGCCATTGTAGCGTTATTCCATGCTTCTCCTAACCACTACGTCGGATGGGATTTATCTGAGAATTTCCAAAGTACGAGTGGTATTTAATAGGACTATTCCACAAGTGAAATTATGTCGGAGTTCCAAAAACCGCTAAATATTGAAAATAACTGAAAGCGTATGTTAAAATCAGAGGTTATGTTATAGTACATACGCTGTTAATTGGACATCGATTTATACCGCCTCCTAAGATAGATGGGTGACAGTTTATTTTTGGTCAGTAGGTAAAAGCAGTAGGCAAAAGCGGTAGGAAAAATCGGATAGAAAAAGCGATAAACTTTTCCAGATACGCCGCCCTGATAGGCCATTTTGTATGTATAGTTGGCTTAAAGACTATTGATTTTAATTACGAGTGGAATAGTCATCGTAAAATGTTTTCGAAATTTCAGACCTTCCAATAGAAATCAGACCTATGCCATGTTAAGAGCATATTTGTACATTGAAAGGAAAAGTGGGGCCATTTTTGAAAAAAATCTTCTTTTCGATTTTGAAGTGACACGTTTTTACTCAAAATTGACAGTGTGGTCAAATTGTAATTCGTGCTATTCCGAGTCGTGAAATATAAATAAGACAAAAAATTTGGAATTTTTGAAAATACACAATTTCAATGAAAATGGAATCTGTGCAATTTTAAGCGTCCTTTGTTCTATCCTAGGAAAAAGTTAAATAAAAAATGTGGAGTAGTTTTTGAGAAAATTTGAAAATGTGTCTTTATATAAATTACCCACAAGCATCAAAATATACCTTTCAACACGCAGGGCCTCGAGTTCGGGCAAAAAGAGCGGGGATTATCTATTTTGGAGAAAAAAAATCCAAACTTCATAAGTTAGCGTTGACCACAGACGAATGGACGTTTTGCTGACAACTAATTTTCCGGTATCAAGGACCCATAACTCAAATTCTGACTACATTCGGGTTGGAGGAAGTAATTTACAGTACGAAAACTCAGAATAAAGCCAAGTAACTCTTATTCCATGGATACAAGAAAAACATGTATGACGAAGAGGGGGATAGTGCTTATTCACGAAATAAACCCTTGAAGTATTCCTTTATTTTTGCGGTGATATTCAGTGGATAACGTGAAATAACCTCAAAGTCGAAGCAGCAATGAGACGCATGTACTGGGTAGCAATCGGTAGAAATGGAGTTTTCGTAAAGCGATAATGAATCCTTGTTCGGTAAGTTTCCCCACATGACAGATTTTTAAAGAACAAATACGTTGATGACTTTTTAAATAGATTTCTCTCCAAATCCACAGTACTAAGGGTTTTGGTTATTGTAAGGATGATATGAATCATAGGGCAGAGAGGTTAATGTACATTTTATATTTGTGGATTATATATGCAAGTGGTTTTTTATTAGCAGCATAGTGTCCAAGAAAAAATGGACTCTCTCTTTCAAGAGTAATTGTTTTTGTTTTTTATCTATTACACAAGGAATTGGTGCGGTGTAGTAAAAAAATAATTTTTCCATTAAATTATGTTGATAAACAAAATTATTTATTTTACTTTGTTGAACTCGAAAGGATGATCAGTATATTTTGCATACAACGAAAGCTGTTAGCTGCAAATTGAAACGATTTTTTCTATCACATTAAGAATTCCTCAAAAATGTACATCATTGTACATTCACGACCATTAAATTAAAATGGGAAATGTAGATCACGGGATATGGTCGGAGTGATTTAAGACTTAAAACAATTGTCCGATGTTTCGGAATATTTTTATTCCACCCTCAGGGCTGGTGGTAAAAAATAACAATATAAGAATAACACTTTAGATACACAATTGGCCATTGCAACATAAGAGCATACTATACAACCATTGTAACAAGACTCCAAGAATAAATAATTCGACAACTATCGAATATAGTACCAACTTTCTCTTTCACAAACCCCTCTTCGGATAAACCCGAAATAGGTATCCGTGGAATAAAAGTAAGTTGCACAATAGGACGAGTTGTTTATTCATGGAAAAGACAATTCTTAGAGACAACGTTTTCTAAAGATCATCTCTACATCATACAACCGGCCCTTAGGAACGAGATCTCTCCACTTTTTCGATACCAGGGCCACACACACGAGTTTTTCTGTCGAAAAGTGGCCGTTTTGTGCCACGGTATTTTCTATACTATGTAAGTACGTAGTAATGCAACAAAGTAAAAAGTTTTTCTTACTCGGCTTCAAATATCAAATTTGCTAATTGTAGTACATCATCAAACTTGATGAAAATAAATTGAACACTAAATTGAAACCTTTATCCTACGCTTTGAGAGTTCTTTCAAATTTAGTCAGCTTGTTGTGTATATTTCACGAATGTTCATTCCCGCCTCAGGCGGGAATGAATACATCTTGTAACTCCCAGGCTTTTAGATTAAAAAAAGAATTGTACGAATAATAAGCAAATCCCACCCACGTGATTCTTGTATTCCTCTCTTTATTAATCTAGGTTTTTAACCATTACCTTGTCTCTTCATATATGAATCAGTGGTTTTTGTCAAAAATGACTTACATAAGGTCATCTCAGTTACATCTCAGATGTGATAAGACGCTTACGGAACTCCTCACTATAGCAGCTGCCGCGCCCGGAAAT